CTTCAAGGTAGCATTCTAAATTACTATATGAATCTCAAAGTGCAATACCTTTTGAAGATATATCAAAGATGGGTGTCTTGTACCAGTACTCACAAACAAATCTTCGTAGCAACACAAGACACCATATGTCCTTGGCAATTCGCAAATGTAAAATGGCAAAAGGCAGGGAAATTGCAAATACAAAGTTTCTAGTCAAGGGTGTATTGCTACTTGTCCATGTGGCAATAAACAACACAATGCACATTGTTGGACAACATTTTAGGATGAGTTTCTCAGAACTATAAAAATCATTTAGAGATCTTACGTATCTGAATATATAGCTTGTGATGTCATGAGCAGCTTAGACCTTTAAAATGACTTAAAGTGTCTCACATATTCGATCAAAATTTGCCATGCAAACATGTTAGTCTACTTTACTGGCCCCCCTTGCTGTAACAAAGAACCCAAAACACATTAAAACGTAAACATAAACCAATTAGTCACTTCACTATGAAAGTGGGGGTGTTAGCAAATGCACGGTGTATAACCCAAACGCTCCTACATGCACGACGGAGCGTTTCATTTACGCGGAAACGCTCCGGAGCGAAATAAAATGGCGGCTAATGAAGATTCCACTATGACCGTAGGTATTGTTCCTCTCGTTAATATTATGTACCATTCGATGAACAATACCGTGAGCAAATATCTGATTTATTCAACTTCTGGTGGTAAACTGTTATTTGCTTGATCAAAGCTCCGTAGTGTAGATCGAACGAATCTGAAGATGACGATTTGACCACAAATTACGAATTAAACTAGTATTTCTATGAAAACGTTAATCTTTCTGTTAAAGTAGTAGATCACAAACCCGTATATTCTCATTTCCTAAAATCCCAGTCCATATCCATTATTTGTTCTCGAGAAATCGCTTGTTTTCCTCGAAACGCTCGGTCGATTTAGAAAACAATTTTAGAAACGCTCATACCATTTTGTTTTGATATAATTTTCAGATTATTAGAGAAGAGTTTCGAATCGAATCTATCTCTCAAAAACGTGTTGTACTTGTTAGGCAAATTGAAACATCTGAACCTGGTGGTGCTAAACGTGCAACTAGCTGATTTAAGCCTACATTAGATGATGTCATGCCTACATATGTGCTAAATGATAAAACTATAGAAAAATGTGAATTAATCTTTCTTCTATTGATGCCAAGGGGTATAATAGATCTTTTCTTTCTCTTCCTGAAAAGAAAAGGCAAGCTATATATTTCCTAAACTGATCTAGACTACCGGAGCGTTTCCAGTTCACTGTGTTAACCAGATCGGAGCGTTTCTTGAATATGAGAATGTCATCATTTTTAAGACTGGATTTTCGGTCATCAAATCACTGTTACGATAATGTATGGTGCGTTGAAGCATTGGAATTTGACTAAAATATACGTTGGTGCTCTAATCTTAGCTCAACTAATCACATGTATCGACAAAAGGGGTTTTGACCGGTAGAATGACAAATACGTTTTTGAATTTTGATAACTATTCTGCTACGTACAGCTCTTCCTAATTGCTTCAAACGTCAACAGCCAGGCAAGTACAACATGAATATCACACCCATCGAATGGTATACTCGAAATATGTAACTCATACCTCTTATTCCCATTATTGTGGAAATCGTCAGACGGCTCATCATTCCCGCCAGTCAGTTTTCCTACTCCGGAGCGTTTCTTTGTTTAGTTTCAGTAATGAAACGCTCCGTCGTGCATGTAGGAGCGTTTGGGTTATACACCGTGAACTGTATATTAGCAGAATACGCTGTGTGCATGGACTAACACAATATCAGTGGTCATTCACTGTGTCAACTTAGTAACCCTTGCATATCGTGCTCACTCAAGTATTGAATAATTTTGTTATGATCTAAATGTTTGTGGTTTATAACAAAATGTGATATATTTTAGTTAGAAATACATTAATTAATATATTCATTCAAACAGCACTAGAATGCGGGAAGAAAGAGCAATGGTGATAAAATGCAGACAGAATTTTCTGTAAGGGTTTCAAACATTTCTGGACACAATCATACATGTACATGTGTACTGTTATTTTTAGTGCTGTATTTATGGATATAATTTCACGTTTTAAAATCATATTTTCCAGCAATGACTTCAAATCCGGAACCACACCCATATCACATTTTCTTCAATAACTCCAAACATGTGTAAACATTGACCATGTGCATATAAATTCAGATTTCACGAGCTCTTTCCTATTCGAGTACCTCATACACCCCTGCATGGATTTGAGTTGGATTCGCCTTTTATACGTGAGCCGATACACATCGCAATCGCTGATTGGATAAAGATTGCGAGAATCTTTAAATGCAGCTCTAACATAGAACCAGGGAGATTTGAAAAATCAGGCTGTTGCTGAATTAAGTTCGAGAGTTGTGAACAATCATCTTTATATATAGACATATCCTTTAATTCATATGAGAGTAAACTGTAAAATAACAAAATTATTTCGCCCTATTCTATTTTTGAGTAATCTTTTAAAAATATGGTAGTGTAGTAATTTTATCTCTAATATGTCTATTTGTGTTTAAAACACATTTTCCATGCTTTGAAGATAACAAACACATAATTGAATATATATGATCTTAAATATGTCAACTAATCGCCATTCAACTAAAAATATAAACAACTATTGCTGAAAGTGAAGAATTGGTCATTTTGCCCATTTATGTGTCATTTTTTGATTTTAGTTTGCTAATAAATGTGCTAAACTTTTGAAAAGTTTAAGCATATTAACATACAATAATAACATTTGTGTTGGTTTTCTTATTAAATGGTGGAGGGCAGATCTTAGCCCTCTAACAAAAACATTCGTTGTCTTACATACATTTTCTTTAACTTAAATCAAAGAAGACAGATTCAATATATGAATCTATCATCAAAGAATTATAATTGTGGAAAATTATATGCTACTGCTAAATGCAGAATGCTAAAAATGCCAAATTTTAGGCACATGTAATCAAATGAAGGTTACATTAAATAATACATAGTATTGATAGAGAATAGCTACAATTTTGTTAAAGTTTATGTTTTGAAATTACTTTTTCATTTACATTATAAATGGGGCAGGGGAGACATGAAAGCTCTAATATCAACATTGGTTTTCCATATCCTAAATGGAAGAAGACATGTACAAGAACAGATCTGACCAAGAATGCACCAACCAGTCAGCATAAAACTCAAGATATAGGGACATATACGTTATTGCTGAAAGCGAAAATGAAAAACTGAAAGCTCTACTATGAACATCGGTCATCCACTATACATTTTTTATATCTTAAATGAAAGAAGACATCTACAAGAACAAATTTGACTAAGAATGCACCAAACACTCTTTTTATTTTGAAACTATCTTTTAGTGGATCTTGCAATCCATTTTCCAAATGTAATGATCGAACACCATACAGATAACTCAAAATAGTGCCATGTCTCAGATTACGGTCATTGCAATCTGCAATAAAGTTTAAAATAGTTTTCTCACTTGTTGGACAATATGTAGGATCGAGACTATTACAAAATTTAATAAACTGTTTTTGACCAACAGCATAAGTCTTCCGAGTTGACAATTGTAGACCTTGTTTTACTAAGGAATCTGACTTGTGTTGGAGATATGCCAGACGTTCGGCTTTACTATCTAAAATTACATAAGATACGTACATGTGTAAATACAAAATATGATTTCAATCTTTAGAATGAAACTTGTTAAAAAAACAAAAAACAATTCTATACTTATGATCTCCATGTTACATAGAATAGTACTGAAAAGTTTGCACAATACATTGTTTCAAACATTTAAACGAGCTTAATAAAATATATTAAAGTCAATAGGCTTTACAAAGCGTACGGTTTGATTTTCCGTTAGCTTTTTGAAAGTGTCCCATTTTTTCCTGCTTATAGAATCGGCAATTTGGTTCTTTTGTCCTTCGATGTGAATTGCACGACATTCACAATTGTTTTTTGCACATTGATAATATAGGGCTCTGACAAGAGCCATTAGATCTTTGTTTCTACATGATCCTTTATTTATCACTGTAACTACGGCCTCGTTATCGCAATGAAACAGTAAGCGCTTCTGAGACAAACATTTCCACGTAGCTATGGCAACAACGATGGCATAAAGTTCTTTGAATGTTATTCCATAGTTCATGTAACATTCTTTGAATTCACCAAAGGTATATTCACCATTGAAGAATGCACCATAGTAAGCCTTGGAAGCATCTGTATAGAGATGTAAAGTAGTGTTTGGAGTCCATGCTTTGTCGTTTTGAAGCTCTCTTGCGCACTAACCACTGTTTTAGATTATCAATCATATCATGTAGTTTATCACTAGGTATCTGTAATTCAAATTTATTGGAATCAATTACCAGACCCAAGTACTCAAGAGATGTAGTAGGCATGATCGTTTTTGCAGGATTGATATCAAAACCTATTTCACGACACGTCTTTACCATGATGTCGATATTTTCATGACATATCATAGAATTGGGAGGACCACATGTAAAGTAATCATCTAAATAATGCTGTGCTTCTGTTGCGCCATTTTCACGCATGATGAATTCTAAGGCATCTGCGAATTGGTTAAATAAATAAGGCGATGATCTAGCTCCAAACGGAAGCACTAAATCGATGTAGTAAGTAGTCTCAGTGGATCCATTCTTTGTTGTTGTCCAAGTGGTACCCAGTAATTCCCAGTCATCTCTGCATACTCCTATATATTTAAACGCGTCTGATAAATCGATTTTCGACATTAAACAATTTCTACCATATTGTTTCACGAGACGTATCACTGTATCTATGCTAATGTATTTAAGAGTGCATATATCCTTGTTGATGAAATCATTAATTGCCTTTCCAGGAGGCCATGAAAGATCATGGATAACCCTATATTTTGGAGGGTCCGAGCGCTTTTTACGATATGCGCCCATCGGCGATGCGACATAAGTTGAAATTTGGGGAGAACTGAATCCCACTTTACGACCCATTTTGACTTCCTTAGCAATATTTTTCTCGATCACGTCAGGATTTTCTAATGCAGACTTCCAGTTATTGTGTATTTGCGATTGTCTAATTCCTTGAAAACCTAACGAAACTCCGTTTTTGGCTTGATAGATTATTTTCTCTACGAACTGTTTATCAGGATGATTCCTAAGGCCTAATTCTAGGGCGTCAGGAGAAAGTGGTCTATAAGGATTAATGTGTGTTAAGGGATGGGCATTTCGTACATTTTGATCGAGGGACGTTAAGGGTGCCGCATCCATTACATTTGTGCATCCTGTAGCAATTTGTTCCATATTTGCAGTTTCCGAATTGATAATTGTTACAGACCTCGTCTTTGTCCGCCTTCTGTTTTGTATCCGACGATGATGTCTGCGCCATCGTGGAGCTCGCTTGAAAGGGGCAGTTACTAACTTTATGGTCCCCTGAACATCGGTGACATCTGATTGTGTTCTTGACGCATGTCGCATCCAATGTCGTGACATATAACGTAATATCCATCTTGTCAAATTTGGGTGATGGTGATTGAGCTAATTTTGTTCTAAATTTAATGTCATACAGATTGATCGCATTCCAATGGAACTTTTTGTCCGCTTCCTGGATAAGTGTGCGATATGCGATAAGACTCGAATACAAGATCGGATTTTGTTCAATCAGTATACATTCATAGATACTCCAAGCAGATAACCACTGATTAAAGCTAGTAATCGTTTTAACTTTACGCTTGTGTTGTTGACGAAGATGTCCGTTATCAAGTGTTAAAATGATAGGATCTGGATTTTCATTGTAATCATTCACAAGATTAGCTGGTAGTAAATCTATCATGTTCACAAACTTACCAGATTTCACTGCTTTTATTGTTTTCTGAGGTACAGGATAATCTAGAATCATTGATGTGTCAGATTCATCTGCTTCGGTAGAGACTTTCGTTTCCGTCATAACGGGTATGGACGGTTTAGCAGGGGCTGATGGTACGACTTTCTTGGGTGACATTGACGGTACGGAAAATGTTGATGGTATATCATTGCTATCATTGGAACGAGATTTTATTTGCAATATCTCATGCTTCATGGATTCCATCTCAGTCTTCACATCCTGCTTGAAAGTTTCATTACTTATCATCATACGTTCCATGAGATTCTTTAATTCTAGAATCTCATTGGTAACATCGACTTCAACGTCCTGATCTCGATATTCTTTTTGAATTTCAAAGTCACATTTAGTTCCATGAGGGCCAATATGATGTCTTATAAGGCCCCTACACTTACTGCACTTCCTGCCTGCTTCAAGAATGTCCGATTTACTCTCAGCCATTGTATTAAAATGAAGTAAAACTGTTGAAATTTCCACGTGTTGTGGACTGTCTTACATACTGAACTGAATGTCTTTATAAAGTACACTGGTGAAACTGGGGTCAACCATGCATTCATATAAATTGAAAAGATGCCAATTACACTACCCGCTAAAGGATTAGAAAACCTGGAAACTATCCAAAAGATAAATGGACAAACAATTACGTGATAAATATATGGCATTCAGATTCATTAAAAACATTATTCCAAATGGAATAAACTTCATATTTTTGAGTTACAAACATAATCTCATTGTATAACCAGTATCCGAGAGAAATATGGTGTCGATAACCTGCATTTTAGACTTGAAATCAGGTTCAAAAAGTGAAAGCAATTGGTCCCAGGTAAGACTGCCCGATCAACATTATTATCAATTATAAGGCTGAAGAAGGGTGATGTTCAAAATTACCAACTATGTTTCCATTGAAAGAGTACGTACAAAACATTTTCCGATTAGGTAGATTAAATCTCACGGGGAGCTCAAGTTGGAACTATACATAATCATTTAGAAAACTGGACTGGGAAATCAGAGGTCGAAGGGTTTTTCAGAAAAATATGTTCCAAAAATTCTTGACACCCAGTAAGTCGTAGGGTCGAAGGGTCATAGGTCGAAGGGTTTTTAGTACATTCCGCAAAGAACTGTTACTATACCAGGAGGATACTGTATCCGGTCGGGAGAAGATAACTGGCCGGCCAGAAATGGTTGTCTATTAGAGCCCCTTAGTCTATATCATGTCTATAGGAGTTACTCCCGTCGAGAGCTACTTAGATTTTGAAAGTATATTACATGGTAGCTCTCGACGTGAGTAATATAGGAGTACATGGACTTCTATATACTGTACATAACATGTTGTTATAGTTTATCACTGCCTAGGTCATTTTGACATGTGGCTGAGAAAGGCACTCACTGTACATTTAAAGTAGTGGGGTGCAATATTATATTTGAGGGGTCAGTCTCAAAATCACTTTTTTATTAAAGGCCACCTAATAGGAATTTTATGTTGTTGTTACTAATAAACCCCATTCTAAGGTGTACCATCAAAGGGTCTAGGGCACTCTCCTTTATGATTTCCCCAAGAACAAAATGAATCATTTTAGGTGTAACATAAAGAAAAGAATACAATGTCACATAATACTTTGGAAAATATTTAAGCATTTGGACCCACATGGGCTGAGGTTGAGGTCATTAAGTTCAGTAAAGGGTGTATTGACTTGACATTGGATGTGCTCCATTGGCTTAACATGTGGATACCATCAGATTCCAATGGAGGCCATTGGTTTCTATTGATTTTCACAAAAAATACACTATGACCTGAATTGATTGCAAATTAAATAATTTGACAATATGACACAAATGGTATATCACATCAGATGTCCAAATATGAAGTTTGCAATCGATTCACGTCACACTTCAAATTAAAAGTTTATACATTTTTCATCATTTTTTCCAACAAAATGGCTATAGAAAAATGTTTCAAAAGCAACTTATTACACTTATGAAACGCCATACAACTTTGTAAATCCAAAGATTTTACTGTTATGTTTCATTATTAATAACATATTTGGATAAGATGTAGGGATGTGTACTATGCAAATGGATTTTGACAGACACAAAAATACTTCCTGGTTTGGAATCTATACCTCTACACTTCCTCATGGGGAGATCATAATGGAGAATGCACTGCTTCCTTTCAGTGAGAGCACCTGGGTGCTGTATTATAGATACTTTTGCATTTTGGTTTGGTATATTTTATCTCAATTCCTGATTAAATTTCACTTATCATTTCATCTCCACTAAGAAAAATTATATTACAAAAATAGGAAATGGAAATTCCATGCAGTATGCTATTGCAATATAGCCGGTAGATTTATTTTTTAAAAAACTGAACATTATTTTCCATGCCTGTTTACAAGATTTCATTTCAATCTCCAGATTATTCCAAATTAAATTGTCAATGTAATTTATTATTTTATTTAACACACCAGTAAGTTATAAGTTAACAGGTGTTTAATACAATGTATTAGCTCCTGCACATCCCCGGGTGCACATCCATGGACCATGTTTGGTCCTTTGTCTATGCAGCTAGCTACATATTCTTTGGTTTAGTTAAACATGAAAATTGTAACTTGTTAATTTAGAAAAAACAGAGAACTATTGGTATTCATGACATGCTGCCGCCAGCTGATGGCTTATAAGAATCAAGTACAGTAGGGCAAGTTATTTTAAACAATCATATCTTTCAACATGAGTGAGTACTTTATGACCATAAATACAGTGGTTTCCATGTTTTCTTTTATTAAACAATAAGTTTTCTGTCAAGTTAAGTCCCCATGTTATTAAAAATACCAATCAACTCTCTGAAAAATTATGGATTACCACCCCACCCTCTCACTTTTTTTAAAGTGTTAGGCTTATTTTCTAATAATTATCAAAATTAAATTTTCTAAAGGATAGGTATTGATATGGTGAAATGAATTCAACAATGTTTTTTCTTAAACCATTTACTGAAAATATTCTGTAAAAACACAGTCCTTTATGTAATGTTGACTGATTGACAACAATGTAATGCAAAAATATTGATATATTTTATATAACTGTTTTTGTTAACTTCATTTCATTCCTAACATATGATACCAAGAACAAAAGAAGTGTCTTTGTGTTTTCCAAAACAATATAGAGAAATGTATATACATTCATATTTTTCAAATTATAATGTTACCATCCACAATATGACCATTAAATTGATGATGCGTTATATTTTCAGAATTTTTTGATGACTGGTTTAAGAGAAATTTATTGCTTCAATATTTTGAAAGAAATGTTGACATGGGGTTGCTATTCATAAATTTTTGAATTGTTCAATTGATATTTTTATTATCCTTGAGAATTTTCTTGAAAGATAACATATTGTGTTAATGAGAAAAGTCATATCTAAATCGTGAAAGTACATGTACTCATAAGAATATGATTGTCTAAAATCACTTGCCATACTATACCTGGTCCTTTAACTATCTTATGCCCAACTAATTTAAACATAATGGCGGTTGCCAATATTCTATTCATATTTCAATGAATATTATATTCATATTTCAATGATCTATTCATGTTTCAATGAGTTTACCATAAACATTTAGTGGATTACTCTATCTGCCAGTAATTGAATTTAGTCACTCCTTTCTGATTAATAGACTTGAGAGACATCAGACTTTACAGTTTATGCCTTGACACTTTTAACAAAGAACAGTGTAAGTGTTTTTGGTCAATGAAAGACTCACCAAATTCTTGCTAAGTTGAATTTAAATGTATATTCCATCTTCAGTGTCCCCTCTCAACATTAATTGTTTCTCAATACATCTGGATATTTGTTGTCAATGATACTATTTACAGCTTCATTTTTCCAAAACTTATATCAGTATCCAGTATATTCTGATGCACCAATAATCAGCACAGGGTATCTAGATTTGTATATTATGTGGATACATAATCCTATTTTCCTAGGTCAATTATAAATTAATCATTGTTGCTCTGCATTCCTCGAAATATGTCTCTCTTGATTGGGTCCAGTCAGCAAGTACCCCATTGGCCTGGAAATATATAGAAAAAAAATTTCATATCTACATTTTGACTACTAGGCTATTTGAAATTATAAAAGCAGAATAACATTGTCATCCTTAAACTATTTAATTGCACATTTTTCAATCAACAAAGTTGAAACATACTAATCTAGTACATGTAATGTACTATGAGGAATTGAATATAAGGTTAAATTATAACATAACCAAATGGTAATTTGACAAGTATGATATTATACAAATATTTCGTACGGTTTAATTTAAGAATACGTCTTGTTCATCTTTCAATGATTCTAGCAAAGTGTTTTACCCAAAGCCTAAAGGGTCAGTGGAATACACTTTGCAGAATCATTGAAAGTGCAAAAAGTATCACTGATATTTATATAAGATTACGATAAACTGACAATGACATGACTTTTCATAGGCACATTGTCAACAATGATCTGAATTTTACTGTCATTCAGGCCCTAGCTATGTCATACATTTATGTGCTACGGAAATCGCTAGAGGAATCTTGATCGCTTGTACAAAAATATTATTACCTGAATGTTGTATATTCTTGCTAATCCCAAAACCGATATCCAGCAGACAGACACACTAACTCCCAACTTCTTGGACAGATATTAAGATGAAATACAATGCAGCACACAGCAATTCGACTGACAGATGTCCCAGAGCTCCATATTGTATAGAGATTCTTGTACTCAATCCAATGAGTAAGGACAGCAAAAAGATTATAGCATCATGTCCCCTTATCCTCAGTGGTCCATCCCAGCAGTTCGTCACCGTGTGTACTCACTGCATGATTGTTCAGATAAAATGTGGTCTCACTCTGTGTGTGATGGTCCTGGAATCGAGATACACAACAGTAGAGCACACAAACATGGACGTTACATCATTGCTGTACATGACTGCATAAATAATGTACTTCGAAGCGATACTGTACATATTTTTAGTATTCATCTATGTAAGCTCAAAAGAGGCTGTAGCCAGATCTTGGGTACATTAATGTTCAAATCACTCTAGACCTAGCTGTTTACTTTAGTGCCTATAAACCTAGACTGACTTCCCTTCATCATATTGAAGTCTAGTGGAATTCTTATAATATTCGAGTCTTTCATTTCTAGTTGGAGATACATGTACATTGCCTTACTTCTGAAATTCTAATGCGTACGATATGATAAGGACCTGCACAACGGTTAGACCTCATTTAGAAAAATCAGGATCCAAAATCAAATTCTTGAAAAAAATTATCGTAACGTAAGAATGAAATTATACATACCTTTTCGTGATAATTAGTTGACATCTTATATAAATGTATGGCACCTCCTAACAAGGAAAGATCATAACTTAACCTAATTGAGCCATATTATCGCATAATATCACAGA